AAGAATTTTTTTGAGAAAAAATATAAATAATAATAATAAACAACTATTATACATTTTTTTAATTAGAATTAGTTGTAGTTTTTTTAATAAAAAAATATAAGGATTAGTCGGATTATCAAATATTTGTCAATCAGCTGATATGTACGAATTTGTACGAAGTATACTAAATTTAATTCGTACAGTGTACTATCACTTCGACATATCTAGTACTATTTATACTAAGTACAGCAGTACTTGTCCGAGTACTGTACGAGTACTAGAATTTTGTTAATACACGTGTACTACCACAACCCTGAATATATCCAACCGCAGACGAAGTAGGAGAAGCACTTCCCCTGCACCTCCCATTGAGGAAGTTGAACGGTTACTAGGCCAAAGATCATCTAGCCGAAGCAATCAAAGAAGTCGAACACGTTCGGAATCTCCAGCTCGTAATCCATCTCAGGCTCTATCTTTACCTCGTAACAAAGATGGTGATGATACAGGAAATCTGACCGGAGGAAGAAATAACACAGTGACTTCACCCATCCAACCACTATCTTATGAAGCTTCTACTGGTAATCAACAATCATCGAATAGTGCGGAGGGGATATAAATAGTATCGGGTGATAGTATGAGGAAATGTCTCTAGATTATGCACAGCGCCTCGCCTTCGGTTAAATATATTTGAAAATTAATAAAGTAATCTTTGCCCACATAGGACATATATATATTTTTTTTAGCTTGTATAAATGCTGTGTGAACTGCCATCGAATAAATAAAACTGGTTTAATACAATTCATTTGCATCAATTTCAAATTTTAGTTACGTGATTTTTTTTAATGCGCATAAATTTTATTTTGATTTTCATTATATATTACATGTTAACTTTATGAAAACATTATTTTGCTTCGCAGTAATTTTTTTTTGCTTCCTCCCATTATTGATTATCTTACTTTCAAATAATACCCTGCAAGTCTAAAACGAATCCGTTAAGAATTCGAGAAGTAAAAGTACGAGGATTTCTTCGCACGTTCATAACAATATTGTCTTGTTGAACTCGATATACTGTTACAGTTTGATTGAGGGGATCAATCAAAATACCTTCCTAGATAAAATAACCATAATAATTAATAGCAATAACAAAATAAAAATAAAAAATAATTAGTCACTTACTTCAACATCTGCATTCATAAAATCTATCATTTTTCGGTGACAATAATCCTCAGAATCGTTATCTGAACGTATTTCCGCAACAAAATTTGGGGCAACTGAGGGAAACGCTTCGTTTTGATCATTAACCGATAATGCATTCCATCTGCAATAAAAAAAGTTAAAAAATGTACATACATGTAAACCACTTATATAATTTATACATATAATGAGAAACCTTGTTGCGAGAACAACGGAAGCATCTGGACCCCGAACAGTAGGATTTGGTAGAGGCAAGTTATAACATGTCTACGGTTAAACATATTTTAAAAGAACATGATATTAGAGCGGGCATGAAGAAAAAATTCTCGTGATCATTCGCAAAACATACCTGACTACTTCCGTATAGTCCAACAAGTCTAGGGTTATTCATACACCAGCCAGTAACTTCATATATAAGTCTAGCCTCTCTTTGTCCTATTTTATTATATCATAATTCAGCATGGAAAAGAAACGTTTGTTGACATTCCAACAAAAATAGCATACCAGTTCGAGCGCCAACGGGCATTATTACAATTTTGTTGTCAGCTAGGTCGAGTTTATAAGAGGAAGGGAGTATTGTCGCGAGTTCTTCGAAGTCTTTAATAGTAACAGGGACACCATCAACACGCGTTATTTCAAGTTTATCCCTGTCCAGTTCGTAATGAAAAGGGATTATTTTCTTGAGTTCTTCAGAAATGAGTTTTTCAGACATTTTGAATATAACGTAGAAAGTATGTATGGAAGTATTTTAAATCTGATCATTTAATTTATCAGTGACAAATCGAAAGCGCCACAAGTCATATGACGTAGTGACAGGTGATGCTCGAATATCAATAAAGTTTCGCCCATAGTTTAGGCTTTATTTACGGGTGAGGGTTTTATGTGTGCTGTAATAAGTTTTTTTGATCGATGCTGGCTACTACGCATAATTCGTCTCTGGCCCAAAAATAAATTTTATAAACCATAATCCGCATACGTTTCTTTATTGCACTCATCATACTAACCCACAGATTTACTTTCCTTGCAAAAAACTGATCGGCATTCCAGGGATGTTATACTTCGCTCAAACACTTGAACATTACACAGATAAAGTGCAGTAAATTCGCTACTAGATGGCAGACATTGAAGAGATCATTGATTTATATGCGGAAATCCCTTCTTTTCATGAGAAGTATTCAGGTCTTCTTAAACAACTGCCCCCATCAATAATAAATGAGGCATGGAAGCGTTTAACAACCCGAAAGCGCAATTCACTCTCTGCTATTGATGCCAGCTATGAAGATCCTAGTATAGAGGCACTTTTAAGACGTGAAATTGTAAGATATGATCAAAAAAAGAAACGGCAATTAACTAATAGTTTATATATATACAGCATGGAAACTGTGACACAAACAGGAACTACTGATTTCTCAGACAAAGTGGATAAAGCAACGCAAACAGAAGATATTAATTTCTTGGCTAAAATAGAGCAAGCTAATATATTATTAATGAGTGCAATAAATATTTTGGCAAGCCTTCGCTCATAAATTTGTATAACTTCCCGGGATTTCTTAACATTTTTTTTTCCTATAAATAGCTAGCCCACAATTTTTTTGGCAAGAATCTCTTAGCAAAACTCTTAGCGAACTTGCAGAATACCCAAACTTCTGGGAAGCAACGGACTTCCTGGAATATCTGGATTTCCCAATTTCTCAGAAAATTTCTGAGCCTATATACTATATACTTACTGTACCTTTCGGACAATTAATCCACTATGTTTAGCCAACCGCATTTCAATGATCACTATAAGAGTTTGCTTGACCAATTACCCCCATCCATGAAAAAGGATGTATGGTTACGCCTTACAACCCGCAAAAAAACCATTATCTGAGGAGCTGGTTAGGGGTATCCATCCGGACATTGAGGAGTTGCTTACTAAGGAGGTTAATAAATACTATAACAAAAAAAATCGCCAGAAGATTAAGATTGAAGCAAATGTGATCCCAGAGGGATCCTCTACCTTGTCTAGGCTAGATGGTTTTGAAAAGCAGTTGGAGGAGCGTGAGGTTCTGCTAAGACAGAAGGAAAACAATATTAAAAAATCTATTGAGGCTCGGGTTGATGAAGAACGTAAAAGTATAAAAGAAGAATATGATACTCTTAAAGCTTGCAAAGAAAGTAAATATAATAATTGCCTGGTAGATATGCAACAGAAACTATATTTATTTAAGAATCAACTAGAAAACCAGCATAATTCT